AAGACCCATTTGCAATATACATGCCAGTAAAATCTGCAAAGTGTTTAATTTAACCATCAGCAATGTTACATGTCACTAATTTACTATTATTAACCTCACCCCTAATGAGATGAAAAAGAAAAAAAAAAAAAAAATCAAGACATAATACACACTGTAGCGATGGGTAAAACTCACTTAGCACTAATTAATACTCTTAAGTATTTTCCTTTAACAATTGGTAAAGATGGATTGTGCCGTCCCTTTAAACTTGTGATTGAATCCGGCTCTGAAGTGAGGAATTTCATGCTTTTTAACAATAGATTAAAAATAAAATAAAAAATAAAAATAAGGAAAACTTATTTATAAGTCATTTTTCAAACATTTATGGTAGACTAAGTCCTATATAATTTCTTATAGAGTCTCAAGTCATATTTAGATAGGAATGTATTCCACAAGATCCTACAGAAACGTAACGTGCCGTGGCACTTGCATAAACGTAACGTAATGTAATACCTATATAAACGTAGCGTAACGTGACACTTACATAAACGTAACGTAACGTGTCACGTTACGTTTTACAAACTTAACGAATTTTTATTTTTTTAAATTGAATATGAAAATGTTGCCGGTTTATGTTGGTGTCACGTTACGTTTCATAAAAATATGATCTATGGTAATATTCAATTTGCTATATAGGAAATTGGATATAGGAAATTGAATGTTGTCATATATCATAGGTGTCAAGTTACGTTTATCTAAGTGTCACGTTACGTTACGTTTATGTAGATATGATCTATGGTAATTGCATGTTACCATATATCATAAGTATCACGTTACGTTTATGTAGGTGTCACGTTACGTTACGTTTATATAGATATGATCTATGGTAACATTCAATTTCCTATATATGATTTTATTATTATTTATGATATTAACAACTAATATTGAAGGTAAATGTGTCAATAAACTTCCCATAGGACTTATGGGAACATAAATTTTTTAATAGGACTATATGTAGCATAAGTCTCCTTAATAGGACTTATAAATAATTTTTCCTAAAAATAACTTGGGGATTAAATTAGAAGAAAAAAAATAGTAAATCAGGATGATTAAATCAGACTTTGTTGATTACTAAATTTGCTTAGCAAGAAGACAATATTATCTTCAACAAATTTGTCTACAAGAAAGTGTGAAATTTCATATTGGGTCAAATATGAAATTGCATTTTGGAAGGTGGCAGCCTCCCTCGTGTGCGATATTAAAATGGTTAAATTATAAATATATTTTTTGAGATTTATTTAAAATATAAATTATTTTTTGTAATATGTAAAATTACTAATATTTTTTTGTCAGAATTTTTTATTTAACAGAATTAATTGAAAAAATGAAATTTCTAACTGTTTATCTATACAATAATAAAATTATTTGAATTATTAATTAAAATAAAATTTTAACATTATTAAAAATTATTAATTAACTTGATAATTTATTAATAAAATGGAGACTTATTTATAAGTCTTTTTTCAAACACTTATGGTAGGCTAAGTCCTGTGTAATTTCTTATAGAGTCTCAAGTCCTATTTAGATACAAATATATTCCACAAGATCCTACATAAACGTAACGTGACGTGACACTTACATAAACGTAACGTAACGTGACACCTATATAAACGTAACGTAACGTGACACCTACATAAACGTAACGTAATGTGTCACGTTACGTTTCATATAAATATGATCTATAGTAACATTTAATTTCCTATATAGGAAATTGAATGTTGTCATAGATTATAAGTGTCACGTTACGTTTATATAAGTGTCACGTTACGTTACGTTTATGTAAATATAATCTATGGAAACATTCAATTTCTTATATAGGAAATTGAATGTTGCCATAGATCATAAGTGTCACGTTACGTTTATGTAGGTGTCACGTTACGTATACGTTTATATAGATATGATCTATGGTAACATTCAATTTTCTATATATGGTTTTACTATTATTTATGATATTAACAACTAATATTGAAAATAAATGTGTCAACAAACTTCTCACAGGACTTATGGAAACATAAATTTTTTGATAGGATCATATATAGCATAAGTCTCTCTAATAGTATTTATAAATAATTTTTTCTTAATATTAATAAAATAATTTATTTGTTATGAAATTAAAAATCTTAAAGCACATAACACAATTTCTAAAATTACAAAAAAAAATAATTTATAATTTAAGTTTACCAATTAAAAAACCAAAAGAGTGCTCATTGTACTGAAGACAAAAGAAATTTACAAGAAAAAAAATGCTTGGGAACACTAATTAGTACTCTTACTAATTAGGTGGCAGTGGGTTCCGTCATTAATGATGTGATGTTTTGGTCTTAGAGTTATATTTTTTTTATTTTTTTTTACTTTTTTAATGTATTAATACTCTTAGTGGTGATATTTTTAGTGGGATGAATCATTATTGTTTACAAAAAGATGTTTTCACACGTTATCATCATGGAGGTGACAGATGCCATTTTGGCCTTGACTGAGCTTAACCAGATCCAAAATGATAGCAGTACGTAATTTTTATATAAAAAATAAAAAAATTAATACAGTAGGATGTGACAACGGTAGTGCAGAGTAATGGCCTTGTGTTTTTCAATTAATGGGCATAAATAGGTTTGTATGAGGGTTTTGCAAATGAATTCTTTTTCGTATAGATTATCTTCTTTTTTTAACATCGTATAATATTATTTATTAATTGATTAAAAAGGAGGTAAATTTTTTTTATAGATAATACATATAACATATTCGATAAAAATAAATAATTCGGATTATCGAAATGAGACTCGTGATGAATCTCACAAGTCTAACAACTCGAGACTCATCACAAGTTTTGTTTCGATGATCCGACCTATTTATTTTGTCAAATGTTTCATATATATCATCTATAAAAAAAAAATTAAATCGATCTGATAATCGTAACATATTTAATTTATCACGTTTGTAATAAGTCATAAAAAAAAACAATAATTGTATTTTTAAAAATAAATAATAATTGGATTGCTGTGGTTGTAATAATGATAGTTGGGATAATGGAATAAGGGTGGTATGGTAGTAGTAGTGGCAATGTGATAGTGGTAGCGTGATGGTGGTAGTAGAAGTATAAGAGTGATGATGGTAGTAATAGTCTAATGGATGTAGTGTAATAATGGTTGGTGGTAGCAGAGATAATAATAGTACAACAGTAGATAGGATGTGATTAATGTATTAGTGATAGTAGCAAAAATAGTAGTAATGTTAGTGAAACGACAACAATACACCTTATGGGATTGATGTATTAGTAATAGTAGCAATAATGGTAGTAATATTAGTGAAATGACAACAATAATATGATATAATTATAAGATTTTAAAAATTGAACATTGAAATCTATAACAACTTCTATCCCTTTTTAAGTACTTAAAAATTTAAGAAATACAAATGATGATTTTCAAATCATTCCATCACTATTGAAGAGATTATCAAAATACAACTTCTATCCCTTTTTAAGTACTTAAAATTTTAAGAAATACAAATGATGATTTTCAAATCATTCCATCACTATTGAAGAGATTATCAAAATACCACATGAGCAAATGTAGTGTAAAGGTGCTGATTTTACTTTAGTTATTCCATGACAAGTTCACACTTTGTCCAAAGAATCATGTGCCAATTTTGATTTGGTAAAAATTTGATGACCTAACCAACATTTGTAACAAGATTGATATGATATGGAATTTTCTCTCTTGAATTTGTCTGTTTCTCTGTTCTATTTTTTGCTTTCAATTACATAATTCTATTTATGAAATTTTTGTTCCCAATTTATTTCAATTTAACAATCTCTGCAATCTTATAATTGTATAATAAGAGGAAAAGATAATCTATGGCCGCTATGGGCAGATACATATTCTATTCGCCTATAGAATGGAATGTGATTTTGTCCCTAATCATTACATCAGATCCATTACCAAACTCTCAATTGCACAAGGAAAATTACATGTAAGTTTATTTTTTAAACTCTTGTTTTTATATTTAATAATATATAAATAAGATGAATGATCGATAATTTTAAAAAAAATATATAAAAGAGAATGTTATTTTCATTATTCTAAAATAATATCACATTATTGAATTTAAAAAGTGAGTTCAATTTTTAAGATAAAATTATCACTCATTGCATAATCCAGTGAGAGATACATAAACTAAAATAGTTAATAAAATAAAATAATTCCTCACATCACACTCTCTATCTATTTTATTTTAATTTTTTTTTAATATCCTTTCATAATCATAAAATGTAATATAACCAACTAAAATAGTGTATACTCAAACAGGACTTTAAGATCCGCAAAATATAAATATTAAAGGGTTGTTTGAGGTGTACTATGTGTATTTTTTATCTTTTTAGATTAAAAAGTTGAAGTTGAAAATATGAATGTTTAGTTTAATTTTTTTGACTTTTTGTGAAAAAATGTGTATTAAAAAATTGTATAAATTAATGTGTAAGAAAAAATTAATATTATAAGAATTGTGTAACTGTAATTATTGACTTTTAGTGAATAGTGATAACTTTTTAACTTTTTGAATAACTTTTTCACTTTTTTGAAACTTTCCAAACTTGCCTAAAACAACAATATACACACAATTAAATTACATCCACCCAAACCACACAAACAAACCCAACTCTAAATCCTAAAACAACAAAAACATAATTTGTTTTCAAGATTCTTACACCTCATTTTATTGAGATGAACTTAAATTTAACAAACTATATATAGTAGCTAATTCATATAACAACTTCATATATGCGGTTGCACAAAAAAAAAAAAAAAAAAAAAAATGGAGGTTAGTTACACCAAAACCACTCATCAAACCATATATTTTCAACTCCTTTAAATACAAAAGGTAGGTCTATTGTAAGGTGTAAAAGGATATTGACAACTAGTTGAAGAGTCTTAATATATAATTAACCAAAAAAGTTACAAAATCTCTTATGATGGGCGCCTACCGGACTTGGGACGGCGGCGAGTTTTGTGGTTATTGGAAAAAGCACCGCAAAACCCACAAGCAGAGAGTCTCGGAGACGGCGGTTCTATTGCGGGAGTAACTTTTCCGGTGCGGTAAGCGCGTCCACCGCCGTTGGATATGCTCCTTTCAATTGATCCGACGGCTCTCGAAGACTTCTTCTTCAGCTCTCCGCTCTGTTCTTGAGATGATTTGATGGTATCGTGGTCGTCTTCTTTATGATTGAGTTTATTCAATTCGCCGGAGAGAAATCTGTCGTCCCATACAAGACCTGAAGACCCTTGCCTCCTGAATGATGTTGAAGATCTCTGTAACCCAGCCATCATCTGCTGCACTGCACCCCCTCTGTTTCTCTCTCTAAAACTCTCTCTCTCTCTCTCTAGATCTTTCTGTGTTGACCTCAAAGCTAGCTTGTTCAATATTGTTTGTAACTTATATGCGATATATATGGTATTTATATATATATATAGATAGAGAGAGAGAGATAAACAGAGGTTGGTTAAGGCCTCTTTTGGGAACAGGCTAATTTAGTAATTTTTTGACTATTTGACTAAAATATGAGCTAAAAAAAATTAATATGTTTGGGATGATTTTTTGACTTTTTACGAAAAGATGTGCAAAAAGTAGAGAGAAAAGAGAATGACTTTTTGATATGAGTTGTTGACTTTTTAACTAATTTAATAACTTTTTGACTTTTTAATTAAAAAAGAGGTTCCCAAACGAGGCGTAAGAAGAGATCATGAATGAGGTAGCCGACTCAGTCAACCTCTTTATTTTTTTGGACAAATTACCTATGTTTAATTAAATTACAGGTTTTTTCCTAAAATTTTAAAAATTACATCATCCTTCAGGAGGTTTATATTCACCAACTAATTTATCTTCAGCCGTTAAGTAGACGTTAAGAATTATTCTTGATAGACGATATTGTCCCTATACCTTTCTCAAGCATTAAACAACCTGATTTAACATAAAATTCATTTGATAAGCCAACAAAATTTATAAAAGAATTACATTAGATGGAAAAAGAAATTAAGGGTTCATTTGGTTTCATTTTTGAATCATAATTTGAGTTTTGAAAAGAGAAAAATTATTTAGTTTTGAGTTTTGAGTTGTATTTTGAAATTTTTTGAGTTTATATTTTCTAATATTTAAGAAATTTTCTTAATTTTATTTTCTTAGGGTAAATATTTTTTATTATAAATATCTATTTTTTTTAATGTGCACTTTAATTATTACATTCATGCACTGTATTTTTTTATATATTTTTTATTTTAAAAATAATTTTTTATTGATGCCATTTTTCAAAGTATTGAACAACCTAATTTAAATTTTTTTGAATCACTTATATATATCTAAATCATAAAAAATTATTTGGTCAATACTTAAAAAATAATAAAATATTTTTTTCAAAAAAATAAAAATGTTTTTCTTCAAAAATAAAAAAAAATTATTTTTGAAAAAAATAATAAAGAACAAAATAAAAATATATATATATTTTAATTTCTAAATAGAATTTTGTAAAGAATTTTGAAAAGAGTTGATTATGAGCTTTAAAAATTTTTTATTCAAATCATGATTTGAGTTCTAAAACAAATGTTATCTACGTTTTTTTGAATCATGTTTGATTTGTTGTTTAGGAAAAAAAAATTTAGAATACTTTTTTGAAAAGATGGAAACTAGCTTAATAAAAATATATTTAATTTGTAAAAAATATTTCTAACCTCTCAAAAATAAAATTATATAAAATGATAATTATTTTTTATTTTTTATTTCTTAACCAAATTAATTTTTAATTTTTTTAAAAAAAATTCTAAAACAAATACTGAGCAACTATTAACTGACTTGATATGATGTATTAATCAAATATTATCATTTCTCTACATAACACAATTAGGGACATTTTAGTCAATCAATTATCTCCATCAACGGCATTAATTACAATAAGGCGAGATATAATTTTCAAAATCCTGAAGTGAAATCTATAATTTAGTTAGTCTTATGGTATAGATAATTTGCCCTTATTTTTTTAATCCTTTATTTGTTAGTGTTTGAAACCAACAGTGATTGTGAGACTGAGATTTGTTTGTTTAATCACACACGGATTGTTTATAGTATTTTTCTCTATTGCGCAGGCCTGTTTCTGTGACTCGGTTCCGTAATTGACTTCGGACACACGACCGCTTGTTTTAATTAGTTAAACTTAAACGATTGTTGAATTTTTTTTCTTTAAAGAGTTAATTGTTTGAAGGTTCTATTTATAAATATTATGATATTTCAGATTTTATTTAAAAAATTTTAAATCAATAAATCTTATTAGTAAAATTAAGAATATTATCAGTTTTTTTTAATTTTTAAAACTAAAAATATTGGCAATTTTATATAGTAATCTTGCAGATAATTATTTCACTAACTGATAAAAAAAATAAAAGCATGAGATTAAACGTTTTTGCTCGTCTACTTATTAGTTTGATTCAACTATTCAATCAAACCGAGAATATTAATAGTTTTTCCAATTTTAAAACTAAGAATATTATTAGTTTTTTCAAATTGAAAGTTTTTTTTTTTTTTTTAGTTTTGCACATCAATGTTTCATCATCATATTTCTTTATAGACACAAAACTTTTAATTTTGCACAAAAAATATTTCAATTCTTTCAATTTTTTTGCACAGATTTTTTTTTTAATAGTCTTTTTTTCAATTTGAAAGTTAATGTCTTCAAATTTTGAAAAATAATTGGTTTTTTTTTTTAGGGGAATTACACTAACAGTCTCTATAGTTTGAGGTTCGTGTCACTTTGATTCTTGACTTTTCAATTGTGACACATTTGAAATTAAATTTTGAATATTGTTTCAAATAAGGATAATTAAAGATACCGTTACTCAATTTTAAAGGCAAATTTGTCAATTTGATAAAATATAAACTAATTTGACAAAAATAAATATCAAAAAAATATTTTTGAATTTTTAAAAATTATTTCTGCTCACCAAAAATAAAATTATATAAAATTGATAAATCTTATAGACATTTATTTAATTATTTTTTTTATCAAATTAATTTGTATTATGTATTTAGATAATAATCATGTAATGGGTGATTGTTAGGCTTTTAATGTGTAATCGACATATTTAATATATAAAATATTTTTAGTTTTGGATTTTTTAATTTAACGGATTGGTTTAATAATGATATCAAAATTGTCGCCATATTTGACTTTTGAAAAAATAGAAACAAATAATTTAATGAAAATTGAAACAACTACCCATTACATGATCATCATCCAAATACATAATAAAAATTAATTTGGTAAAAAAATAATAAATAAATGTCCAAAAGATTTATCAATTTTAAATAATTTTATCTTTAGTGGATAGAAATAATTTTTAAAAATTTTAAATTTTTTTTTTAACATTTATTTTTATTAAATTAGTTTTTATTTTATCAAATTGACGATTTTGCTCTTGAAATTGAGCAATAGTATCTTCAATTGTCCTTATTTAGAACAAGATTCAAAATTTAGGGTTAAATGTGTCACAATTGAAAAGTCATGAACTTTCTTTTTCTTCTTTTTTTTTTCTTTCATGTTTAGTGGAATTTTTTCCAAAATTTTTGTTTTTCATTTTTAACTTTTTCAAGCTGGTCAAGTTGAGTAGAACTTAAAAGTATAAATAAAATAAAAAAAAAGTTTACTAAAAATGAAAAAATAGGAAACTGATTGCAAAGTCCTATTAAGGAGATGTGTGCATCTTGTTCACCTTTAATTGTTACCATAAAATTTTATTTTTTATTTTTTTAATAGCGTTTTCATAAAAAAGTGTCATTAATTGTTAATTTTCAGAGACAATTTGAATTATTTGTAACAAAAAATGTCCTTAAAAATGTCACTAATTGTCATCTTTTAGCAACAAATTTAGAAGTCACTAAATGTTACTTTTGAAGGACAGATTCATAAAATCATCACAAAAATCTTCAAGTCCAACTATTAAGCATTTTTTATCTATAAAAATACTTGTGAGACTTTAATGATGCACATGTCATTATAATAGGACTTGTGAGCAATTAACCCACAAAAAATCAACAAAAAAAGTCACTTAAAAAGCTAAGCCCAACACCCCAAAGCATTATTGATAAATAAATTAATTAAGTGACTTTGATTTATTGTATTGCTTTTTATTTAATTGGAATTTTGGATATTAAATGATATTATTGTGTTATTTTTCCAAGGTGAAATTTTTATCAGCTGGGAAAACAAAGTATATGAAGAAGAATCTGAAAACTACCAATATCTACTTGGAAAAATTATGAATCCGAGGTATGATTTACTGATTAGTTACAATTAGATAGAATGTGATTCCTGATTAGTTACTATAGTTTGGATTGTGTTTGAATGCTAAGAATTTTAAAGAGAATGGGTATAGAATTTTAGATTCTCTTGAATTCAATCTTTGATACGGGATAGAATATGAATGTGATTTTTAATTATCTACATCACCAAAAATTACATTTTAAAATTGAGATGGAATTTGTTCTCCAACCTCCCTTATTGTAATTTTACTTTCTACCACTAGCCGAACAAATGGGTGTTTTTTATTTATTTATATTTTTGAACAAAACCAATGGGTGTTTGGGGTTAACTTTTTTTTGTAATTTTTTTGTTGGCTTATTTTCATCTTTAGTATACTTTTCCTAAAAAAATTTCAAAAAGTTTTAGGCTTTTAAATTTTCTACAAGACAAATTGGAAAATTAAAACAATATCAAAAAAAAGTTCGAAAAGACAAAAAGAGTGGACTTTTTTTAGTTTATTTTGACTTTTTTAATTAAAAAAAATTTACATTTTAGATTTACCTATACGAAACAGATTGAAAAAGTAAAAACAATAAAAATAAAAAAATCATTAAAAACAAAAGACTAATGGTATATGCACTAATTAGTGTACTAATTGATAATGTGACATAATTTAAGATATTTTTGATATTTGTAATTTGTATAATGAATGGGGTCAATAATAATATCATAATTAGTGTTAGTACACTAATTAATATACTAATTGATGCATATAGTACCACTTAAAACAAAAACATTCAAAAAATGAGGTGGCACATATATAAGTCCCCAAACAGCCACTTACCCAAAGAAAAAGAAAAACTCCCCAAACTGCCTAGGCATGGTGAATTTGCTAGTTTGTGCACTTCAGTTGTGTAGGTTTCTAAAATAACTTAATAATTTGTGGTAAATGTTTTTTTTAAAACACAAGTTATTAAAGACTTTCTAAAAAAGAATAAATTGCACTTCCAATAAAAAGTACAAGCAGTCTCATAATTTTTT